CATTAAGTAATTAGAGAAACATTAAATTTCAAATCTTACATGAACCGAAAAGGTATCGTAGAAACTAGTGTCAACAGGCATGGCATCGCCTACCTTTAAGTAAAATCTCAAATCTTAGAAACTACTAAACCATTTTAACCGAATTTGGTGTGTAACAAAGTTTGGCATTCTTACAGTGTGAAAAGGAGAATATAACCACGCCTAATTCCATATGTTATACAACAATTGAAAATTTAATCTGATTCTTTCATTTATATAATGTATTTAAAGCCAGAGCCAACGATGTTAACTAAATAACCTTTGAGGTATGCCATCCGGATGTTGTTGAAATCGGACCATAAATTTTCAAGTTCCAGATATCAAATTTGTGGACTTCAGGACCTATGTCTGACTTTATATTAAAAATATCGGTCTATCTGTTAGACATACTAAGGAAATTCAGAGAGCATATTTTTCTGGTAGTAATGTGCTTTCTTTTTAGAATGGGTAAAAGCGAGTCAATACTTCATCTAGTCCCCACATATCTAATATACAAATTTTGGAACTGCGGGTTGACCTTATACTGTATATATGTGATTATCTTATTGAAATTCAAGCGCATTCTATCTATGATAGTTGTCCATCCAAATTCAATTCATGCCAATTTCCAAGCATCAATAATTTCATCAAACAATGAATGTTCAACTATCTCCTAAACCGCTTAATAAAAAAATTCACTGGGAACAAGTGTTTTTAGCACCTGAAATCGGGTGACAACCCTGCCCACTCCCCATATAACGGTACTGTTAAAAACTACTAAAAGCGCTATAAATGAAGCAATAAACACGCCAGAGACATTAAATTGTATCTCTGGGATGGTATTAGATGACTTTATAGGATCCGCTTTCAGGTGAGACCCCATATCTTGAGATCTGCTTAACCGATTTCAAATAAATTCGGTACATACCATTCTTCTCATATTTCTATGTTATAAGGCGAAATTGGATTACAACCACGCGTTGTTCCCCATATAACACCATATCAAATTCCATCTGATTCTTTCACATTCCACTATGCAAATCAAGCAACAATGATTGTATCGGGTAAAACTTTGCGTGAATAACGCGTTTAAAGTATGCCACCTTGTGACCAAAAATTGTCAAAATCGAACCAAAACTGTTCAAGCCCCTAGGTACTGAATATGTGGACCCCAGTGCCTATAGTTGACTGTCTACCGAAAATATTTGTCAATGTAATAATTAAAAAAATAAATGAAACTCTCTATAAAAGTATGTTTTTGTGTCAAAAATGGGTTGAATCGGATCAATAATTTCTTCATTATAAAATTTTGCCAACACCTAAAGTAATTTCCTGGGTTTTGTTCCATGCAAGTTGCGATAGTATAAAATATTCGGTTACATGCGAACTTGGAACTTCCTTACTTGTTTAATATAAAGTTTTGCGAACACCTGAAGGAATTTCAGGCTTTGATCTTCGAAAATTGCGGGAGCATAAAATGTTCGGTTACCCTCCCTTATTTGTTTAATTTGTTTTATCTACTCACCTCTTACATCTCTCCGAATACCACCAGCCCATACCGAGCACCTGTGCACATTTATCATACTGAAAGCCGTTACCCATATCTCGTGTAGAGAATTTCGAAAATCGCATTAGACGACTTATAGCAGATGTTCTCGAAAATGCGCCCAACTCCTCCACTCTATAGCCCGTTTCTTCATTGCCCAATACAAAGTATGCATATTTTTCCACTTCGATATCGTTTGTTTCAAATTTCGTAAATATACCCAATTCTTGTTTTGTTTCGGTTGTTTGCGCATATATACGATCGAGTCCAAGAAAGAAACTTTCATTTGGCTCGCCGAAACCAAATTTGTATTCCGCAAAATTTTTATCAAATGAATCACCAGTATTTATGCGACGCATAAAGACAGTCCATGCACAACCCGAACCCACAGGATCTGCAAAGCAGTATACTTCGGTTGGTCCATAACCCAAAACGTATATAGAATGTACACCATTAGTAGCGCCAATATTTTGCTTCATAATCTCGGCACAACTACTGGGTAAAAAGCTATCATCAACACTACGATGTGCGGCAGGTGCATAATTTAGATTATATGCGTCGGTTTCGAAGTTCATCGTTTTCTCTTTGCCTTCTGTGAATAAATTGGTTCATTAAAAAGTATACACATATAATTTAAATAATCTTATTTGCATAAATTCACTACCTTCACTACCAAATTGTTGGCTATTGGTGTAAGTTGTTGTGTTATAAGTTTTTGAAATTTCCGGTCGCTTCGTTTGATCGCGATAATATATATAGTTCTTCTCCGTAGCTGTTATCCATTTATTATCTTTCAATACAGATTTGGTTTTTATTACTGTTGTCAATACTGGTCCAGCGAGTGATCCACTTTTGGCGAGCAAAAACGATTATAAACGTTAATGTTATACAAGTGTAAATTTAAAATAATTTACCTTAATAAATTATTAAAATTTCTCTTAAAGTCTCCAAGTTCATTAGCCCCAATAACAATTGTAGTAATACGTGAAGAATTCTTGATATCTGGAATTCTTTAAAAGTACATGGAAACGTTAGCTTGTTCGCGGAAATTTATTGTAAATGTAACGATTATGTTTTTAGACATGTGGTTTTCAAGACAAAACAAAACACATATAATTTAATGTTATGACCAAGAATTTAACTTAATAATAAAGATCAGGGTTGGCCATAATGTTCTAAAAATTATTTCGGGCAAGTGACCGCCACGGCAGGCTCGAATAAATTCCAGCCGAGTGGCTTAATTTTCGACCACTTTTTGCTGCAATCGCGGTCGCATGTCAGCAATAAAACGCCGAATATTCTCCTCCTAAAGCATCAATCGCTTCGGGGTCGTCTGAGTAGACAAGCGACTTCACATAACCCGACAAAAAATTGACCAGCGGTGGTAAATTGCACGATCTTGGAGGCTCTTTCAATAAATTGATTGCTTTGTTGGCTGTATGGCATGTAGCGCCGTGTTGTTGGAACCAAAGGTCGTCTACATCAACATCCTCCAACTCTGGCACGAAAAGTCATAAATCATGGCTCTATAGCATTCCCCATTGACTGTAACATTATGGCCGGCCTAATTTTAGAAGATATATGGACCATTGATTCCCTCTGCCCACAGAGCACATCAAAAAGTGAGCTA